AAAACTGATTTATTTGTTAATTTTTAAGGATATTAGGATTATATGGTGTTTCTAATTGATTTTTTTTGCCATCAATTGATTTTTTTAGCAAGATTGTAATTTTGTTTCACTTATGATCACATCATCACCCGTCTCATCACTTAATAGAATTATTAAGAGACAAAGGAGGGTGAAGAATGGGGCAGCATGTTAAAAGAAAGGTTAGTGACTATCTACTCAAATTTAGTAGGACAATGACTAAATTGAAAGTTATGATAAAGGTAAATAATTATTTATGTAGTTTATATCTACTAAATTATTTTAATTAATGCTACAAATACGTTATTTTTTTCTTGTCACTTGTTGACTTTTATTTTTTTGAGCTAAACTGTAATTTTGTTTCATTAAATGCCATGCCATCGTACCACATTATCATCTATTTTATCATTTAATGGAATTTCTAAGAGATAACAAAGGTGATGAACAGAAGCATATTAAAAGAAAGGTCAATGACTAAATTTACAAGTTTAGAAAGACAGTGACTAAATTGAAAGTTATGATAAAGGTGAGTGACTATTAGTGTAGTTTACCTAAATAAGAATTGCAAACCTGGCAGAGAATCCCCTATTTGGGAAACCCTATTATTTGCATTCCAGCTAACCCTATTATTTGCGGTACACCTTCTACAACTGTGGCTCTCATAATTTGGGAATCTGCAGTAGGAACTCTAAATCTTTTATCTACAAGTTCTATTAAGAGTTAGAATAAAAAAAATTCAAGATGCGTATTAAGAGGAAAATTCGTCAAAATTTGGAAATTCTACCCAAATACAGTAAGTTTTTATAGATGTTTGTCACTAGTTTATTGTCTTTTATCTTTATCTTTTGTCTATACAATTCATATGATCAATTAGTGGGACTGAATGCTCTTGTTTCTGTTTTGGGCCATGCATCTTTATTCTATGTGTGGGAACCTTGTGTTTAAATTTGCAAAACTGCTTCTGTGGGTCATGAAAGCTTGACAACCATTGCTATATATATTTCATGATGTTTAAATATTTTATTTTATAATCTAATTCTTTGTGAATTATAAATAATTTTGTTTTCTAGTTAGTTGCATATTTTGATATTTTTATCTTGCTTTGTATTGTGATGGTTTTTTCTTCACCATATGTTTCACCTTTCTTTTCTTTTCTCTTTTTTTTGTTTTTTAATAGGTGAGAACTTTGAATATCTTACAATTGAAATGCACCATGGGGGAATTTCAGTCTTGGGAACAGTCAATATAGAGGTGGTGGAATAAACTTTGTGCACTATTGTAGCGTTGATGAAATGTCACCCCTGGAGCTTGAGGACATCATAGAAAAACTTAGCCACAAAGATGGAGCTAATATGGTTTTCTTGTGGTTAATGCCCGGTCTGAAACTTAATAATGGTCTGAGGGTGATTGAAAACGATGCCGATTGTATGGAAATGGTGAGTCATTTGCCTGAAAATAGAAGCATATGTGTCTATTCTAAGGGGAAAAAGAATGAAGAAACAACTGGAGATTTATTCACTACATCCAAATTGTCATTTATCTACACACAAAAACTGTAACTAAAACTCCAAAAAACATAGCTATAGCCCTTCTAAATACTATAGTTACACGTTATATAACATAATTACTGTATTATGCAGCTAAAGATAACTAGCTACGTTTACAATCATATTATTACAATTTTTAAATGCATAGGTATAGACTTTAGAGAACCTATACCTATATTTACAAAATCGTATGTAAAAAAAATTCCTACACATTAATTGTAGGTAAAAACAAATGACAACAACAAAATGTGGTTTAGATATCATCATTTAACATTAATATTTGTTATTACTAAATATATTATCTAATAATACTATAAGTTGTAATAAAAAATATTATATCATAACAATCTTATTGTATATAAAATGAATATTTCATAACAATATTTATTATTACTAAATATATTATTGTAAAACCACATAAATTGATGCAAAATAGTGCATCTTACAACAATCTTATTCGTATTTAAAACTAATATATTCTAATGGTATTTATCATCACCAAATATATGATATAATAATATTATAAGTTGTAACAAAACTCATTATCTAGTAACAATTTTCAATCGTTTTATAAACTAAAATTTATCAGTAATAATAGTCATTGATAAAAGTGATATATAATAACAACTTTATTTATTTTGATTACTTATTTTAACTCCTTTATCAATCAATTTTAAAAATATAATATCCTAAAAAACAAGTTATTACCTAAAATTAAATTTTCTAATAACATATTTCGTTATAAAATATATTGCTTGATAACAATACTAGTTCTTATTTAAATTAAAGTTTCCAAAAAAAAACAATTGGTAAGCAAAAAAAAGTTGCCAAACGGAAAAAATATTGTTGTAAAAAATTAATTAAGTAATTATTTTAATTGTTTCTAAATATGTATTTTTACATCATTTCAATCATTGTTAAAAGGACAGTGATTTGTACATCTTATATTTCAACACCCTCCAGTTTAGTTATTAAAAAATCATTATTTTTTAGGCTGAAATTAAAAACAGACAAGTACAATAATACAATCATGTACACAAGATATAGAAACCAATTGAATTAACTGTATTTATATTATATTTTTAATAATTAAACCAAAAAGTATTAAATCGAGTGTTAAACCAAAGAATACTGAACCGAATGTTGAAACGGAAGGTGTACCAAACATTTCCCTTGTTAAAAAAGGTATTTCTTTATAATGAGAGTTATTTTGTAAAATAGTGTTCGAAACCACTTTTTACTTGTCATAAAGTGATTCTATCAATGATATTTAATATTGAGCAATATCTTTTTTCATAATAATAATGATAGTTCTACATAAAAGTATTACTTTATGATGGGCTAATTTCACTTTAGCAAGTATATTAGTCAATTCAAGTAATATAATGATAAAAATAGAGTATCATCCTATAGAGACCGTAGATCAACTAAGTACCAAAATTAACTAATTCTAATTTTATTTGAACAATTGAAATTAAATTATTTGACTAAACTAAATAACTAAACTAATTAACGAAAAACTAAATTGACTTTAAGTAACATCAAAAGTTAAAATTCTAAGGCATCTAATTTGACCATAATCAACTAATATAAAATTTAAATTAATATACTTCCAAGGTATTTATTATTTATATAACAGCGGGATTTCCTATCCTATTTGATGTACTTTCTCAAGTTCCACAAAACCTATCTTCACCTATTAACCCACTATATCTCTATGTGAATTTAAATAGATAAAAATGTATTATATTCGGTGAAATTTCCTAGTTTACATGAAAAATTAAGTTCACTTATCACTAATGTTACACAAATCACATTGGTCTATCTTTAGCTTTCGTTCAATTCATGGTATATATTATTAGAAGTTATTGCATAAAATCTTCTCTTGGTCTCAATTATGCTCTCCAAATCAATTTTAATGGTGGTCAATCATTAAAAAGTATTAAGAACAATAATATATACCCCCTACATAAAATAATAAACCTTAAAAGTATAAAAATCATAAAACTCTATATTAAATTGATCAGACTACATCATAGCCTTAGATGACAAATCAGTTCATAATTAAAAAAAGAGAATCAACAATTTCATGATGAATATACGAATATCCAACGTCATAAAATAAAATTCAAGGACAAGCAAAACTAATTTGACGATATAAAATCTCAAGCCTTGATCTCCTTTCGTTGTTGAATTCCTTATAGCCGTCTCTCTTGGTCTCCTCTCAAAAGCCCGCAAAACTGATTTTTGAATGGTATTTATAGAGTTTAAGAAACCCTGTTAGAAGAGAAGTAGGACTCGGAAAAATAGGAAATTGGGATTTTTTTGGACACTGAACGCATAGTGCCAACACCCTTAATTATGTGTCGACACAAAACAGAAAACAGAATTTGTAATTCTGGACGCGTGACGCATAGTGTCGACACCCCGATTATGTGTCGACACCACACCCGTGTCGGGTTTTTGGCCTTTTTTGCAATTTTTCAATGGTAAAATTTCAGATCTGATCCTCCAGGTTTTGTACAATGAGCACTGAGATCCCAAAGCTTAAGATTCACTCATTTAGGTCCCAAAGAGGCCTCTTTCTTCTTGCAGTTCAGTCCCTCAACTTCCAAAAGATATTTAATTAATTCCAAAACTCCTATTATTATGCATCCAAGTCCTTTTCTGCACAAAGAATGAAAACCATGTAAAATGTCATAGAATTCATCCAAATATTAATAATATCAAGGCAAAAATTTAACATTAATATGTATATAAATTCAACTCATCACTTTACGAGGTAAGATGTTATAAAAATACTTGTATGATAACAAAATTAATTGCTACAAAATAAGTAATTTGTAAC